ATGGGCATTAGTCTCTTCCTCTCACTATCAATTCCATCGCCTACTTCCACATTGGGTCAGCAATCCCTTGGCTAGAGTTGGGCCTTGCAGATTGGGGTGCTTAGCATCAAGCAAAGTCATGTTGTATTATGCATTGGTGGGTTGACCATCGTGGAGAGACCTATTGCGGTGTCCGGGACGGCTCTGTGCCGCGGGAGGAGTTGGTGTGTATAGTGATCAGGGTGGCGTTGTAGCAAAGAAGTCTTTATGAGGTACGTCCCTGGGTCCCCTTGAACAACCCTCACCCATTGTCCACTCTCCTGCGCTGTTGAAGAGTCTAATATGGTTGCGAGCAACTCTCAAGTGCAAGAACAACAACAACAAGCTCCCGCCTACACGGGTGATTTCCTGTGGGTCAACCATGATCAGAAGAGCAGAAAGGCTTTGCCACATCGCAAAAGAGTCTTTGGCCACGTCCAACGAAGCTATCGCAAATGGAAGAGGACCCGCGATAACCAACAGTTGCAAGCGTCCATTCAGCTGCCTGGAACAAGGTGAGGTGGTCTTCACAAGAGAAGGCTTTTACGAGGATACTGACTATGGGACTACTCAAGGTCAATCTCCCAACAACCTCGTCCCGTTGCTGGCAATGAAGCACAAGCCGAGTCGAATACACGTGCTCCTCTTGAGCATGGTGATGAACCAGCTCCGTCCGACCTTCCTAGTCCCCTTACACTCATTCGTCACGGCAATTCGGATCCTTTCTCTTGTTTCTCCTTCTCCATCACTCCGCGCGTGAACGAGGTCATAACATTCATCCGAGACATTCAGCTGCCGACGCTATACTACTCTCCCTACTTCCGCGAGGCAAGCCGCTTCCCGTCGACACGATCAGATGTCACCAAATCGCCCATGGGATGGATCTCCACACCGGCGGCCGTTCAGTCGTGGAAGCACATCGTCCAAGGACTGCACGATCAGTGCACGGCGCTCGCTTGTCTAAGCACATACCTGGCCATGATGGTGACTTGTGGTATCAAAGAGACGGGCTACATGAGATATAGCCTGGAACTGCGAAATACCAGCTCGAAAATGCTCAGACAGAGCATCCTTCGGAGTGATCCCATGCACCGGGGCCCACTCGCCCAGATGACTCTTCTTCAACAAGTCTTCTGGCACTTCTACGCCGAGGCTTCAGCAAGAAATCTTGACGCTGCCCTGGTGCATGGACAAATGCTGAGAAAATTGATGGACGAGAGTCCGGAGGCTGTAACTCCGCATTTCTTCATGCTGGCAATGTTTGTCGACATCCACTTGAGTTCGGCTCATCGTAGGAAACCCATCTTTGAGTACGAGACGTTTGGGCCAAAGGTATACAAGGCCATGTGGGATGGAGTCGACCCATATATCTTCCTACTCGCGGGGAAAGAAACCATTCCAGAAGCCACAGCGGGTGCAACCACAGCCACGCCTTTGGACAGGGTGGTGTCGATGGAACCCCTTCGGAGCCTCCTCATCCGTCGACGACAGGCCATCGCGTTGGCAAAGTTGATCGCCCAGGCCGAGGGTCCTAGCATCAATACCACAGCCATCTTCTTCTGGGTGGCATCCCATGCGTATATTGACGAGGGATTCTTCACGAATTACTATTTTGACAAGGTCAAGGGGACTTCGATCAGCTTAAGCAGTGTTGTCTCCGTGTCCACGACCACGAGTATTGCGGAAATCTCAGATGTAATGCCACAGTCCGAATGCAGCCGCTTGACGGAAGCCGCGGTTGCAATGGCAGCACTCTACCTCATGCGAGTGCTGGGTCTCTTTGACATGTGGATCAATGGCCAGAATTTCTACGATCCCGCAGCATCGCGTGAGACTCTGCTGTTCGACGCTCTTACCGCCGCGTTTCGAGTAGGCAATCCTCAGGAGCTGCTCATCCACGCGAACGCACATTTATGGTGTCTATTCGTGGGCGCGATAGCGGAGTGGCAGAGCGTTCTTCCAGGAAGTGTTGGCAGGAGACGGGGGAGTCATAGATCAAGAGCACTACTTTCTGGGGCGGAAGGGTCTCATCTGCAGAGAATTGATAGCGGTTTCGCCAAGGATGTAGCTCACATTGAGGGGGAAGATGAAGACGCGTCGAGCATGCTGTTCAACACTCTTTTTGCAAGACAAGCGCGAATGATGGGCCTCCTGAGTTGGGAGCAGGTGGTTCCCGTTCTGAAGATGTTTGCATATGGAGACTCCTTACAGCCACATGGCAGCCGGTGGTTCTGGAGAAGTATGGGGGCACATTTGGATGAGTTGAAGCATGGTCATTGATGGGCTGTTAAGCTTTTACTCGTGAAAGCCGAGGCTGAGAATAAGCGAGTGGTGAGTGGCGACTTTGATATGCAGCCTCGTGAGGGGAATTGTTACCTACCGAGTGATGAACAGGCATTGACCTTGGTTGCTTGGTTGCTAGGTTGCTTGGCTACTCTTGATATTCTATTACTTATCATTATTATTCTGCTGACAATGACGAACGAGGCTTAAACGAGGCAAGGCCCCGCATCATAAGCCAGCATCACAATCGGCATATCTTTGTCGTTTATCCCATCCTTTTCGCCCCCTCGTCCTCTCGTCATTGATAAAATTCGCCCGGCGGTCCTTCTGATGCTCCGCGCTCTACAGACAAAAGCCCACGTGTCGCCCGCCCGTATTGCCAACTGGACCCCGAGTTCTCGAGGAGCAGGAATAGCATCAGCATCAGCCACATCATCATCGACAATACCACGACGCAACATCTCCAGAATGGATTCCAGCCTCCACCCCCTCCAGGGCATGTACAGGCCCAACGCCCTCAAGGGACTGTACTACGGCCCGGAGGTGGTGCAGAAACACATCCTCTCGGCGCTGCCAACGGAGAAATCCAAGGCGTTTATCATCACGGGCAATTCGCTGGCGACCAAGACCCCGCTCATCAAAGGACTCGAGGAGCTTTTGAAGACCGGAAACCACCACGCCGGCACGTTTAGCAACATCCGCGAGCACGCGCCCGTGGCGCAGCTGGACGAGGCGACGGCCATCGTCAAGAGTGACAGTACCATCGACACCATCATCTCGGTTGGGGGCGGGTCGCCCATCGACAGCGCAAAGGCCATCGTGTACCGCGTGCACGAGACGGCGAGCAAGTGGCTCGTCCACATCGCCATCCCGACCACGCTGTCCGCCGCAGAGTGTACCGCCATCGCGGGCTACACGCAGGCCGACGGCACCAAGACGGGCATCGCCCACCCGAACACGTACCCGTCATACATCTTCTACGACCCGAAATTCGCCCTGCACACGCCGCCGCACCTGTTCCTCTCCACGGGGCTGCGCGCCCTCGACCACGCCGTCGAGAGCCAGTACCACCCGTCGACGACGTGGGTGCCGTGCCGCATCGTCGCCCTGAACTCCATCGCGGAGCTCTTCCGCCTGCTGCCAAAGTACAAGGAAAACCCCAAGGACGAGGACATCATGACCGGCTTGTTGCTGGCCGCCTACGCCTCCCTCGGCTTCGTGGGCGGCAACCTCAAAGGCGGTCTGGGCCTGTCCCACTCGCTGGGCTACGCGCTCGGCTCGCCCTACGGCATCCCCCACGGCATCACCTCGTGCCTGACGCTGGGCCACGTCGTGAAAGTCAAGGCCCGCCAGTCCCCCGAGAACGCCGAGTCCATCGCCGCCATCCTGCCCTACACTACGGGTCGTGTCGCCGGTGGCAGCGGCGCCGCGGAGATCTCTTCAACGGGAGATAATCTCAAAGACAGCGACCTGGTCGGCGACCGCATCTTGCAGCTCGTGCGCGACCTCGGCCTCAAAACCACCCTGACCGAGAGAGGTGTGGGGAGGGATCAAGTCGACATTATCTGCGCGAGGGCCACGGGCGGGTTGTTACCCCAGAAGGAAAAGAGCCCGCAGGACGAAAAGGTCCTCGAGGCCGTGAGAGGGTTGGTGGAGAAATTGTGGTAGTTCGGGAGGAAGAGGAGGATTTGAAAGACCCCCTTTCCGGCCCTAAGGGGGGAGGGGAGGGTGGTACGTATGTAGGTACCGTGTAGGATTTGTGACATACAATCCTGGCTTTCTTTCTTATTTTTTTTGGAGGGAGTGTCTTGTAGATAGAGGAAGAGGAAGAGGAAGAGGAAGAAAAAATAACCTGTCAACTTCGCTAGGTATTTACCGAGTTTATCTATCTATCTATCTATCCATCCATCCTCCCCTCTCCTTTCTATCTTCTTGTTTGTGTAGTTTTGTGGCCTATCTGTATCCCTAGGGGGTAGATGTCAATTAGCTCGCTGCCACCACCAGCTCACTCATATACACTCTCATATAATACCCTCTCGTGTATCCATACACCCTCGAGAAAACTTGTGTCAGCTAGGCTCAGCCAGGCTCGATCAAGCTCGGCCAGGTGTAGACGGGGCCAGATCAAGTCAGGTCATATCAGATCATATCACATCATGTCCCGTAGTTGGGTTGGTCAGTGGTCACGTCGATGCTATCTGACGGTATAGCCCTCCTAGAATGTAATATGTAGTATGTAGTATGTAGTTTATCCCACCATTGAACGGAACTCGTTACGTGCACACACAAGTGCATACATGGGTACGCGTACATGTATACCGAGTGCATCGGACCAGGACAAAAAGAAGAAAGACGGAGAGAAGAAAACAAGAAGAAGGAAAGAAGGAAAGAAGGAAAGAAAGAAACCAGCTTGGAGGTGACATGTAAAAACCGAGGGGCTGGCAATTCAGCCGGCTCAGATACATGGATAGATGAGTATTGTGTAAACTTTTGATTGCATGGCGAGCTGCGAGCTGCGAGCGGACGAGGAGCCGCCCCCGGGGGGGGGGGGGGGGGGGGGACCTGGTACCCAACGTAGGGACGTCAAACTCATTACCCGTCCAGTCACCCACATCCATCACCCATCACCTCACCCACCCACCAGCCAGGGGCAGGGGCCATACATGTAGATAAATATACGGGTTCCACACAGTGACACATCACAACGATGCTCGAACTTGCTCGTTGACGGGCTTGACCTCGACCAACAACTTGCCTGAGACCCGGTTAGCGACAAGACTCCATCACAGACCACGTTGCTAATATTGCTCCAAGACGAGACTCACCTGTATTCAAACCCTGGTACAAATCCCTCAGGGCGTTCTCGGCCTGGTCCAAGCCGCCCTTGACGATGGTCTCTTTCCGCTTGATCTTGCCCTCGGCGAGCCACTGGGCGAGATCTTTCAAGGCCCGAGGAAATTCTTTGGCGTAGTCGAAGACGATGAATCCTTCCATACTGTACGTAGCGCGGTTAGTATAGATTCCAGAGACGGCGAGAATAGGAGGGGAGAAAAAAACTTGCCGGATACGCATGGAAATGATCATCAGATAGTTCTGGATTGGCTTGGTTAGGACTGACTTGACTAGCTTAGAGGAGGGGATGCTGAATCATGGGACATACCTTTGGTCCTTGAGGCTTGGACGAGTTGTATTGACTGATCCCTGTTCAACTATCAGCATGGCTGTTTGATAAGACCAAGGGGATCACGTACCGCCGCACATGACGAATCGAGCATGTTCCTTTGCTCTGGCGAGCGCCATGTCGAGGATCTCGCCGCCAACTGAGAAATACATCGTGAGCACTACCAACCTCTTCCCTCGCAATACAATCACTCACCGTTGTCAAAGTAGACATCAATCAGGTTCTGTCCTTGATCAGTATCACCCACCTTTCCGCAACATTTGGGGAAAATACCTTCGTGGCAGCCCTGAACTTCTTTGCAAAGTCCTTGTCTTTGTAGTTCAAAGCACCGTCAAAGCCCAATTCCTCGGTCAGCCATCGACACTTGTCGTCGCTGCCCGCAATGCCCAAGACGGTCGCGCCCTTGAGCTTGGCGATTTGACCGACGACACTGCCCGTTGCACCTGCGGCCCCGGAGACAACAACAAAATCACCCGCTTTGACCTTGCCGACGTCGATGATGCCAAAGTAAGCGGTCAGCCCAGTCCCGCCTGGAAGATGCCCGTGTTAGTGCTTATTGTACCTTTCAAAATTCGAAGCCGGTGCTTGCATACCCAGAACACTCATTCCATCCGTCAGCCTGCCGCCCTTCGGGACGACTACCCTGTGCAGCTCGTTCGCCTTGCAGATCTTGTACTCGGTCCATCCCGCCATGGCTGTGGCAAAACTGCCGACCGGGAACTGCGGATTCTTGCTGGCCTTGATGGTCCCGATGCAGCCGCCTCGCATGACCTCTCCGATCTGGACGGGCGCAATATATGATCGGGTGTTGTTGAGCCAACCCCGCATGGCAGGGTCGATGCTGAGGTAGTTGGTCTCAAAGAGAACCTCTCCGTCCTTGAGATCATCGGCGGAGGGCGTCGGGTTGTTGGTGACCAGTCTAAATGTCTCGCCTGGGACGATGTTGTCCTTGGGTCGTTTGGCGAGGACCACCGTCTTGTATGTGGGAGCCATGTTTAATTGGTTGGTTTGATGGTCAGCACTCAATGGAATCAGCTTTGGTGACGAAGGTAGAGTGGCTGTTTCGGTCGAGAAGAGCGTACCGGTGGATAGAAAAGGAAGAGCTCCTGATCAGCTAGACTTTGACAATCACAAACCTGCACGGATGACAGATGACGGAGGTTGTTTACTCATTGCCTCGTCTTGAATGCTTGAACACATGCGACAAACGGAAAAGTGCCTCGGCCACGGTTAAACGAGGGTGAAGCACATAGACCGAGATGCACTTTTATACGGGGGAGTATATACGCCGTTCACGAACCTGAATATTCGATGCATTTTCCCTCGACGGTCCCTGGGATATGAGCTATTGTACTCGATTACCGAGCAGACGACATGGTGCATAAATACAGCGGGTCTATTGCTGCAGTCAGAATATCAAACCTCGTGCACTGAACTGTGAGGTGCAACGATATCTAAACGAGTCAATTCCAACTCCGCCGTTTACCATAGGCAATAGCCATGGAACTCTGGCATGGCCTTGGAGCTTAAAGTCATGACCACTTCTGAGAGTGAGAGAGTGAGAGCTCCTCTCGCCGCTTTGCGACCGTCAATGGGAGAGAAAATACTCCGTGGAAAAAGGTACGCCTACAGCCTTGTCGGCCAGAAACACCAATTTTCGTTCATTTTATGGCCAACGCGTTGGGACAGAGAAAAGACAGAGGTCGACACAATCATATACAGAGGCAACAGGTGACCGCCACACCAGGTCAATAACCAAATATGATATGCCAAGTTGTGGTCTTTGGAATATTGGACAAATACCGAAAAAAAAGAGAGGCACAGAGACACGGAAGAACATGTCCGGTATCGGATTGTCTTGTATCGGCTTCAACCCCGGTCAACTCCAGGGGGCCAATTCTCCAGATTCTCATCCCCCTCATTCCAGTCCAACGGCATTTTGAGCCTATCCATAGTTATTTTATATTCCCATACAAGTATTTCTTATTAGTTCAAGATTACTCTGTGCCACCAAGTCTACTCATACATCCTTGTCACTATTCATTCAGACGCTCAGGGGAAAAATTATAAAGAACAAGATCGTCATGGCAGCGAATGCATCTCACCTCGTCGGCACAGCCAACGGCTCTGACCAAGTACCCGAGGTCCCAACCTATACAATCATCCAAGCAGACGGTATCTACCCTGTACGTTGATCCTCATATTCCAGGGTGCTCGATGTCTTTTGCAGTAACTGATCTCTTCAGGACGACGTCGTGGAACAAGAGATCTTCACGGCAAACCCACCTCATCCCTACAAGTTGAATTATGTCTCGACGCCTCTGTTTCCCGTGGGCGCTCCGACGCCGAAACCCTGGTCGACCATCCCCAAGGACCTGAGGGATCAAGTGGACGGGATCCTGGTGTTGAAAATGGGCTTCACGGCCGCCGACCTCGAGTTGTTCCCAAAGTTGAAAGTGTGAGTTTTCTTTCTCTCCAAGTCTACTATACCAGGTATCTTCCATCAATCCCGTCGGACGAACCACGTCTCCTCCGTGTGGGAATGAAATGGGAACAGTTTTTGATCGTGGGTAGTATAGTCCGGATGGGTGTCGGGTATGATCGACTGGACCGAGACGCATTGGCCAAAAGGGGCGTCACTGTCTGCAACGTGCCAGGTTCGAGCCCCCTTTCTGTATACTTTGTGATCCCATATCCTCCCGCCCTTCTCTCATCTCAAGTCGCCCAGCTATGTCCCAGTGAGCCTTACGACTGACAATGGCCATGGCCACGGCCACGGCTATTTACAGACTACGGCACGGCCGAAATCGCCGACCACGCACTGGCCCTGGCACTCTCGCTGCGCCGCGGGATCATTCTGCACCATGAGCGGCAGCGACAACCCTACGTCGCGCCGTGGATGTACATTGAGACGCCGCTGATCTCGCGCATCCAACAGCCGCAGGCGGTGTTTGGGATCCTGGGGCTGGGCCGGATCGGGACCGCCGCCTGCCTCCGCGCCCGCGCGTTCGGGTGGAACGTCCTCTTCTACGACCCGTACCTGCCCAACGGGGTCGACAAGGCCCTCGGCATCGAGCGCACAAAGGACATGGCAGAGCTGTTCCGCCGCAGCACCACCCTGAGCATCCACTGCGCCTGCACCCGCGAGACCCGCGGCATGATCGGCTGGGACCTCGTCAAGCTGATGCCCCGCGGTGCCGTGCTGGTCAACACCGCCCGCGGCGAGGTGCTGCAGCTCGACGCGCTCGAGCGCGCCCTGCGCGAGGGCATCCTCGCCGGCGTCGGCCTCGACGTCCTCCCCCAGGAACCCATCCCGGAGGACGCCGTCCACCCCCTCATAAAGGCCTACCGCGACAAGGAGGAGTGGCTCGTCGGCAGGATGGTCGTCACCCCGCACACCGCCTTCTACAGCCCCCAGAGCTTCGTCGACATCCGGGTCAAGAGCGCCCAGACCATGCGCGAGGTCTTGATCGACGGTCTGCAGAGTAATGTCATCACGCCGGATATGCTGTAGCACACACAATAGAAAAAGAATGCGCAAACAAGGATCCCAGATACATGCCCTGCTCTGTGCTGCGATTATCCTTATCGTCATTTCATTATCATCCTTTGGCGGACGCATCGTATATACTGCGAGTGCCTATGTACATGTTCACTCGCCCCTGCGTGAACTGCTTCACAGTCCTGGGGGCGACGCTATGGGGCTATAGTCTCTGTGATTATGAGGGTCCTATGCTCACCATTTCCTCAACCCTCCGTTCTGTTTGGCGCTCCCGCTGAACAGTGTCCCATCATAGTCGGTGCCATTATTCGGGAAGTCGATGGTGTAGTTTCCGAAACAGACGTAGTCATAGTTGCTCGCCTCGTAGGAGCTGGCCTGGCTCGTCAAGAATGAGCTCAGCGGACACATGCCGTCAGGTCGGTTGCCGCAGTAGCCCCCCCTGATCGTCGACAGTGGAAGGATGCCGTTGTTCAGCCGCATGCGGATGAACTTGTGCGTCGCGTTGCTTGGGTTGTACCCGTACTGGGTCGGGTAGTACTGCGTCTGCGACGCATTCTTGGGCACCGGATTGCCGGAGCCGCATCCAATCACCTCCGTTACCAGTCGTGCAGAGAACGGCGTCAAGTGGGACAGGATGAAGTGCCGGTTCGGGTTTGGCGGGTATTCTGTGAGTGATGGCGGGTCGCGGAGGTAGTCGAGGGAGGCCGCCGTGAGCACCGAGATGATAATGTCGTCGTGCGAGAAATCAGCGTAGAATTTCTGGCCTAGCGGGAACGTTTGTGAATTGTTGGTCAGGCTGCTGTTCACGCTCGAGTTGGAAACCGTGATGAACTGGTTCTGCAACCGCGCTAGCAGCTCCTGCAGATACCCGATACCTTGTGCCCTTCCCGTTGGGTTGCCGTACGAGTAGTCGTAGTAGTACTCGATGTCGAGGGTACTCTCGAACCCAGACCATTCGTCCTCGGTGAAGAGAGTGCAGAAATCAGATTGGCCTAGATAGTTGGACTCGTACGCGCAGATGCTCCTGTTTGGAGGTGAGTGCGAGGAGATTTTGAATTCAAAACACGGGCTTGACTTACTGCATGGCGTACGTGTCGTTGAGTGTCAGGTTAAACCCGCTTGGAAGATACTGGGATAGGCGACTTTGGGCGTCTGACAGGTAAAGAGGCAAATAGCTCAACAGATCCAGATCTCCCAGATACCCAGTGACTGGGTCGAAATCATTGAAACACGAATCGTACGACGCTAGGGTGTTGTTCTCGGTTCCGCCCTCTGGGATGACCACGAGGTCGAATGGGTTGGTGAAATTAGCCAGGGTTGGGTCTGGAGTGAACTGGTAACTGGGTCCGAAGAACCCCAGTGCCCAACTGATCTGTGTATTCTCAATCCGAGACTGACTCGTTGTCCTCAGGGTCAGTTTGGGCCGACTGGTCCCGTTGGCGAAAGTGGCGTTGTATGCGACCTGGCCTTGGGTTGCGTTATACAGAGTACGACCATATCGGTTCCAGAAAGTAACACCGGCCATAAAGGACTGCGAAGCGCCAATGCCCGTGAGAAAGTCTCGTGTGAGGTCATAGCGGTAAGAATTCAAGAAGTTGAGTGGCCCGGTAAATTGGGACGAAGAATTGGCTTGTGTCCAGTTCATGACCTTTGCCGCGAAGTTGGCATTGTTGGGCCCGTCGTCAAAAGTTCCGCCGGGGAAGCGAGCTCCATGGCGCTGCAGGAGATGAGCCTGCTCGACCTGACATCCATCTGGTAGACCAACATCGCTGACTCCAAAGTAGTCCTCAGCGTTGTCCGCATATGGCGTGATCTGACCCCAGTACTGCTGGATGATGTTGATGTCGGTGAGAAGACCCGAAGACGAGTTCGTGCTGGTCTGGCGCCGTTGTCGCGGGGTAGGCGAGGCGGCTGCCAGGGCTGGAAGGCCAGCTAGGAGAGCCACAGGGAAGTACATAATGCTTCCTCTATCAAGGTTACTCCTAGAGAGAGAGGACCAAATGGTAGAAGAGGAGGCATGATAGAAACTTGGAGGAGAGTTTCGAGCTCTTGTACCACTGCACCGGGTGTCTGGAGCTTACGGAAAGTTCAGGTGACTCCCAACAGAGGCGATGCTATTCGTCCCAGGGTAACCTTGTGGAAGCTTGCAGGAGCTTGCATGAAGCTTGTGGGAAGCTTGCGGAAAGCTTGAGGCACTTCGCCCAATAGAGGGGCTACCAGTGACCAAGCAAATACCTGGGAGAAAAGAACAAGCTGGTGTCGGCAATGGGTTACAACACTGCTAACCGACGAGTCTAGGACAGTAGGGGATGCTGCATTGAGGAGTATCCATTAAGAAAAGGTACCAATGGGGCAGCGTGCGAGACCGCTTGACCAGTCCTTGGCTCAGCCTGCTCCACGGGGCCTGCGATCGATCTACACGTGGCTCATCAGTCCTGATCGATTTGACAAGCTTGCTACTGATTCCGGAGTCTCCTGATCCTTCGAGACTTATCAGATAATCTCTGGTGGACGAGTAAGTCGGAGATGGCACGAGTTGGGGGCTGTGCGGCATCAAATTTTGGTGAGCCGTGGGTAGATATGAGGTAGACATAGTCATGAATCCCTCAAAGTTGCGCAAGAAAAGGCTGTTGAATGCATTTGGTAGACTAAGAGATTCACCCGTTTCTGCCTCCTCTTTGCGCTAAAGGATGCTCCAAGGCTTTGGGAATGAGCTTCCTTTTTCGTGAGAGCTAGCGACTTCAGCTCCATATTGGTTATTTTTTTGCTTCTGCCTGCTTCTATCTGCTATCCTTGCTGACGATGTTGTGGCTTTGGAGTACATCCGTTCGGCGACATTACAAGGAGGATACCCTGGTGAACTGTGTGTCTTCTCGAGTGGTCAGGTTACAATGACAATCCTCCGTAGAGGTAGGGAGGACGTCTCTCGTAGCCTTTCGCAGTAAAATAGGATCTGGCTTGACAGTCGGACAAGGTCAGCTTCAGGTTTGGGCTGAAGGGTGGGCATCTCGTCCCGATAGCTGTCGTCCTCGGGATACAGGATGTCTCAGTATTCAGTAGTTAGAGGACCAAGGACTGAAACTCGACGAGTCACAACTTATCACCAACACAAAAACACAAAAGAATACCTCGTAGAAAGCAGAGTGTGGTAAACCGAGAATTCGGGCTGGATGGCGCCAAGATGAGTGAAAACTGCTCGACGCTCACCCCCGATAGGGACGAGGGTGACGCCGCCCTGTACTCAAACCGGGTCGCGCGGCGAAAGGCCCTGGCACCTTAGCGGCCGATAGGGAGCTGTGTCTTTACAATCTTTGGCGTCCCAATCGTCACAAGTTCACTGTACCTGCTGTCCCATGATCTGGGGTAAGACCACTTGCCGAAGCTTGACCGAGAGCCACTTGGCTGGACATCGTCTCTATTCTCTGCGACCTTGAAACAGCTTCTCAAGGACGTGACAGCATGTATCTATGAGGGAACTGTTGGTGCAGTCCATTCATATCTTCAATGTGCGTGACTGGTACTGTAGGTGTCCTCAACAGAGTGACACTGTTTGAACCAAGTCCGCGAGGTTATCAACCGATTCAGCCCTTTCCACCGTCTTAACAACGTCAAGAATGCCGAGCTCGTTATCATCTACTGTCCCTCGTACTAGCCGTTCCACAAGCTTATTAACGTCGGCTTTGTCGTCTTCTGCATCATACATTCCAACGAGTTAGTCTAAGGAGCACATCAGGTTCTTATTTCACCAGCTGGTTTTCAACAGCTTGATCAAGCACCATCTCGTCGACTGTCCCGTCCACCGGTGCTCCTCCTCTCGCTTCGATAGCAATAAACAATCACACTTCATCTAGCCTAAATCTCCCTTATTGAGCTGGCTTTCGAGCAACTATCAAATACATCGGTGTAAACAGCTTCTTCTGTCCACCAGCTACCAGGCAATCTCCTGCCAGGGCTAGGGAATCGGCCGTCTTTTGCGTGCCTCGCGGCATCAGTCTCAGCGACTCTCCCAAGCCGAAGAACTTGTGCATCAATCCTCGCCCCCACCAAGTCATTCGCCCGATGGTGAAAAGGTCCCCGAGACCGCCCATATACCGGAATTCCCCTGCGAGAGGGTAGTACCAAGGCGTCGTATCCGGTCGCTCGGCGAGATCTTCGTGAATCTCAAGCTTAAATCCAGCGGCCTTGATGGCCGCCAGTCCCTCAGATACCTTGACCATATTGGAAATGCCATCTCCTTGCTCGATGCCTAATCGGATCTTGCGATGCTCGGGGTTGTCGTTGTCATAGTCCTCGGTCATAAGCCACTCGTATACGCCGAATACACCACCGGGCTTAAGAACGCGGAAGATCTGCTCATAAACTCCCTGTAAACTCGGAGCATGCACCGTAGCCTCGATGGCGTACACGGCATCAAAGCTGTTCTCGGGGAACGAGATCTGCATGAAATCACCCTTGACTGCACTGAATTTATTGGCAATACCTTCTCTCTGTGCATAGAGGAGCGATCGCTCGATCTGGTAGTCGTTGTTATTTAATCCAACCACGTTACACCCTGTGAACTTGATTATCCCCGAGCCGGCCCACCGATACCGCAGCCCACATCGAGAACTCTGGAGTTTTCTTGTAAGTTCATCTTCATAGCAAGATAGTGTTCGTGTCGCGCTATAGCCTTGTCGAACGATTCTCCGTATGCAAAGCGACAGAAGTGGAAGGAAGTGCCCCAACCATGCTCGTATAGGTCGGTGGCGAGGTTATAGTAGCTAGAGGAGATTGTCAGTACTGATCACGAAGGAACGACCAGCAGAGAAATATACTGTCGGGTCAGAGTAGCGTATTCGTCTCTGCGTGCCTTTCTAATCTCGTCTGTCTCCTCAGCAGCGACCTTATTGTCCCAGTGTTTGAAGTACTCATCGACTGCAGTCTTTTGAGCAGTATGGTCCTTCTGCCTCATAGCTGCGAGGCCTCCACGCGCTTGCGAAGATCTACCGTGAAGTGCCTTATTGAAGGCAGCATCTCGGGCATGGTCCTCGCTTTCGAGAGTAACGGCAGGATGAGCTGCTGCTGGAACCATAGTGGGCAGGGGAGAAAAAGGTTGACGTGCAAAGTTTACATCGACACCAGATGAAAAGGCTGAGGTAATCCCCAAATATTCTCAAAAGACTGACACACGGTTAGAGGCTCTTGAATGAATCGAAGATGTAGGTGATTCAGGGATCCACGGTATTTTGAATAGATCAGCTCATCCGGGACCTGCAGTTCCGTGTGTACAAGTGGGTTCCCAATTGACCCAGATGCTTAACAGAGAGAAAAGGGGAACTGGGCACCAATCAGTGCTGAAATGGACAGCGCGATTCTTACCAAAATCATGGCTTTCTGAGCTGCCTGGCTCGAGTGCTTGGTAGCTTGAATACGTCCAGTGGTGGGAGAGAACGATCAGCGTCAAACTTTTCACGTCCAGGAAACACGGTCCGTATCATATCGACTCCAGCCTAGTTTGATCGAGTATTTGCGCACAGCGTTCGCCAACGACTTTGCGGGCAAATCTCTTATCTTAAACCTTCAAATGCTAGGTAATTAAGCACTGAAGTCCCGATGGTACAATCAGTCAAGAGCGCTTAGAAGAGCGGAAAAGGGAGTTCCCATAATGGAATACGGATTCCGCTTTGATGCCTAGGGGTGAAAGTTCTGGAACGGTGAAATTTGCATCCCCATTACGATGGCTGCGTGAGATCTTCGACTTGTGCTTCCAACTCGGTTTGAATCCACTTATACAATGATTCCTGCAAGTTGCGGTCCTTACTTGCGTTGGACCCTTTTCCAGCAATGCCTATCGGGCTATAATACTCTCCCGTCTTTACGTCAGGACTGACAGCGGCCCAGATCTGAGACAAGACGCCCTTGTCGACAGGGGTGGCGAAGAGGTTGATCGCGGCATAGAGGAATGGCCTCAAGAAGAAGCCCGTGGAAGAGTGATGAAGGTTTGTAGCGACCATGCCAGGATGGACACTCACAATCTTTACTCCTTTGTGCCGTTCAGCGAGTGCTGAGGCATAATGTATAGTTGCAAGTTTCGAGAGTGCATATCGCTTCGTTGTATGGCGACCCGACATTGTTGTCTTGAGTTCAGCAAAGTCGTAGATATCGCGGGGAGCCACTGCCTCTGATGCAGATGTCAAAAATACAGCTCTTGCCTCGGGATTAAGTCCAGCAGTTTCCTTGATCATTGGCAACAGGGACTGAGTTAGCAGGGCTGGCCCGATGACATTGGTTCCGAATTGAATCTCGTATCCATCCTTTGTGAGACCTTCGGAGGTCATCATGATACCAGCATTGTTAACAAGTATGTCAAGGCGGGATTCGGCGTGCCGGAAAGCTCGAACTGCTTCTTTGATACTGGCAAAGGAGGATAGGTCAAGATTGAGAAATGTGATTGGCGCTCCTTGGGGCTCACTTGCTTAAGCTGCTGGATAGCTGCTTCAGCCCTTTGCTGAGATCTCGCAGCCAGGTAGATTCGAGCTGGATTGTGTTGTCGCAATTGGCGTATCATTTCATAGCCTAGGCCGGCATTGCCGCCCGTAACAATGATGACCTGATTGCTGAGGTCAGGGATGTCGGAGCTCTGGAAATTGACCATGGCACAATCGCGATGCTGGTGCTAATGCTCGTCTCTTCAATTCCAAGGTAGGAGTTTCAACTGGCAGTATGAAGGGTATGTTAGATGGTAGTTTAGATGAAAGGATAGAGCACCTAACTGCCATTTAGGCAGATAGAGCAGGCACACTTTCGGAGCATACAGTACTAGGCAGACAAGTTTGCGCGTGCTTTGCATCGAAATGTGGAAAATACCAAGTCAGAATGCGGTCCAAACTGGTCCGGCGGCTGCAATAGGCACGGACAAACCCGGGCGAATCCATTTGCCAAGGTTGTGTTCTCTGATTCGGAAATACATGACGTCCTGGTGCAGCAGAGTTTATGATGGGCTTGACTAAGGACGACTGATGGCTTGATAATAGTTGTTTTCTGTCATCACGTGATATTTAGAGAAATCCCATGCTGTATTGGTCCACACGCAATGCCTCAAATGGAGTCTCGGCTCTGATAATGGAGACAGGTGGAATGTTTAGGGCTAAGAGGTGTTAAATGCACCACGCGACGACTGCAATCAGCATCGCAAAATGTGTCCAATGAAACTACTCAAAGACTTATTGCGAGAGCCGCCAACCATGCGTGGAAATAACCCGTTGCAAGACTGAGTGTTTTCTGCTCGTTGGCGCTGAAGCACCAGCCTTGCTAATGCCGTTGGTCTTGATGTCTCCATCACGGCGATTCAATTCCGATCATTGAATCGTCCAATGAACGAAGTCAGACTCTTGAGGATCTTACCACACGCTCAGCATGGATAGCATAAATCGATCCCCGTCTGTGAACTCATTCACACCAGCCTTCTCCAAGAGCCACAGTACGTAGCCCTGTTGAATATATGGGGAATCAGAAAAGGGTATGCGTAATACTTGTCGACGATTGCTCAATTCCCGTCACCATGAATCTCTACGATGCCATAATGGCACTACGAACCCTTCCAAATGTTTGGACATCCGGATAGACTTCCTCTATATCAATCAAAAGAACGACCAAAGAAAAAAATTGGCAGGTGGGAGCTCATGATTGATATCCATCGAGAATGACGGGTGAGTATAAAGGTGAGAGGGAGGGTGAGTCGTTATAAAAGCGGCGTGGTCGGGGTGAGTCGTAGTGAGCTCCGAGAAGTTTTTACTCATCTTTGGATGCTAGTTTGGGAGACACTGATTTCTTGTCCCGACAAATGAAACGCAGCCACGCCAGAACTTTGTCCAAAACCTTCCCGCTTTGCAACGTCGCCTTGCTGCTCCTTCACTCTATACCTCGTCTTGTACTCGTCGGCATGTAAGTAGTTGGGCTGTACTGCCATCGGCGGCTCTATTCCATATCCTGCGTGCCACGATACCTGGTCTTTGGGTTGCAAGAATCAATGCGAGAGCCCATCGGCACGCATCCATTCCGTTGCTGAACTCAATGCCCTCGCAGCGTATCTGAAGGTTGGTTTCGTCTCATACGACAGTGATTTCAATGATGCGTTGTTTATCTTGAGATCCCGGAATATGGATGCTCGAACAGACACGTCGTCGGGCCGCTTTGGAGGGCAATGGGCTTTTCTTTCCACTCCTCCACGTCCTGGATCAAGGTCTCTCCCGCCCTCTTCGAGCTACCTACGAAGTGACCGAAGCAATGTCTCTCCTCTACCGACCGGCCTGCACTTCCACCAGCTCAATGCATCTCGCTCAAGCCTAACCAGGCACATCCCAACCCCGTCGATTGGGGGTCGCAGTTCGACTACAACTATCCCTTCACCACCCCTCCTCGTGCGTGTCCATTCCAACGATGCTTCGCTCCAGATCCATCCCCCACGGCCGAGGTCAAAACAGGGCATTATGAATAACGAGTTGCCCCCTGCTCACGAGTTCAGCTTTCGGGGGATCATGGCGGCCATTGAAGAGGACATTGAAGAGGACATTAATGCAATATCTGAGATATTTGGGAGGAGCAGGCTAGTGCTGGCAGATCAGCATGAGAGCCACTTGCCTCCCCAGGGCGAGATCAGGGCAATGAGCAGTCCTTTACAGGCCGTGGCCGAGGCGAGCGCAAGCAACGAACGCCTGGCTGCCGCCGCCGACGATGTCATTATCGTCCGAGAAGATGCAAGTCTCATCGAGGGAAGTCACACTGGCTCCGCCGCATACGGCTTGCTTGAGAGGCTACAAGCTGTCCCGCGCACGAGGCGCATGCGGAGCGAAACCCCGGGAGCAGGTCCCTCAAGGCCGGGAACAGGCTCGATTCGTCATACTTCGGCACCGGCGATTCTATCGGAGGTGGCACCAGTCATTGAAGACCATGGGCGGCTCGCGCACCCTGAGCTATCACGCGCGTCGCGCCGTTTGCTTCAGAGCTCTGCCGCGGAACACGAAGTCGAAGAAATGCCTTCCAGGGCGACGAATGCGGTTGTATCAGAGACATACCTGTCTGCTGGAGCGAATGCAGTTACCGTCTCTGATCCGCCCGTAGTTTCAGAAGGAGGCCGCCACTATCCACTCTACAGTTTTGACGACAGTGGGCTTTTCGAGGGGCCTGCTACTCCCTGTCCACCTCCGCCCACCAGCCTCCTGGAAAGATTACAATTCTTGATTCCTAGAATGGAGTTACACAGTTTCGTCCCTTGGGTTCATGGGCAACCCAACCGGGCGGTAAGCGCAGAGTCCCAACTTCGAGACATCCTCGACAGGAACCAACGCGCACGGGACTCACGAAGAAATCCGGTCGTTGCCACAGAGAGCCCGGAACTTTACGAATAGAGGTCAAATAGTTTGATCCCATCAACTATGGAAGATCAAGAGTTGTTGACCTTCCCTCTGTGCACCGAAGAGGTTGCAAAAAGAGTGACTCTGGCTGACCATATCTGTGGGAGATATGGCCATGATTTGTGCAATAAGGCTAGCGATACCCGCAATGAGAGCCTGAGTTTTTCTTCGATTATGTGAACGGATTTTTCCTCATGTTCTGCTCTTGGTCTTTCTCCCAGTATTAACCGCGTCGTGGCGACGCGACGGAGGAGTTAGTACAAAGCTTGCATCGAAACACTACATGTCTCCTGAGTTACAAACCTTGCCCTCAAAACTCACCTTCTCATTCGCTTCGGGGCATCCGACAAAGCGAAAGCATCTTGCCGAACGACTCGGCTTGGAGGATCTAAACCGGGTTTTCTTAAGCGCTATTCCTTCTACATCGATTTTTATTCTACCTAACGTTCATTACTCAAGGTGAAGTGCGTGATCTCGATCAGCTGTTCTTCAAAAGAAGACGTCCGGCTGGATGCCATTTCAGGTGTGTATCCCTAGGCTGAGGAGTGGGAGCTTGTTGACTCTTCATGGAGACCAAAGCGGCAAAACTGGAAACATGGTCAGAACCTTCCAGCCGCGCGCTCAGCAGTATACTTGGGACTTATCAGGCAGCGAATAGGACCATGGACACACTCATCTCTGTTGAGCTCGGATACACTCTTTCCCACACGGATTGTCTATGTCTAGCCAACTGCAGCATCGCCAGGAAGGCAAGCTGATGAAATCAGCATCACTTGATCTTGATCAATACCGTTTTGGTCTCGAGGAAATTGTTCAGACTGTGTCCGAAACCTTCCCGCCCCGAACCACTACTCTTGTAGCCACCGAATGGCATGTCTTTTGCTGTCGTGGGACTGGTGCAGTTGACGGCAACTGTGCCTGCTTCTAATGCCTTTGCAAATCTCATGGCTCGGTTAATGTCCTTGGTGTAAACCGCGGCGTACAGACCGAATTCGCTATCATTGGCTTTGGCAATCACTTCCTCCTCCGTCTTGAAGGTATTGATATTCACAACAGGTCCGAAGATCTCCTCTTTCATTATTGTGGCATCTTCCGGAGTGTGCAGGAAGATTGTCGGGGGCACAAAATAACCTTGCTGGTTCGACTCTGCAAGACCCGGCACATCTGGTGTGCCACCAAGAGCCAGTTGCCCAGCCGACTTTCCAGCTGCAATATATTTGTGCACCGTGTCGTATTGCACCGAATCAGCCTGTGGACCATGGTTGGTGTTGGCGTCCAAGGGGTCGCCGGCCGATACTTTGGCAAACTGCTCCTTGAACGCCTCGATGAATTTATCGGCGAAGGTGTCTTGGACATAAATTCTGCTGTTGGCCATGCATACTTGGCCACTGTTGAATTGAATGCTAAATTTGGTCTCCTGAACGGCATCTTCGAGATCACAATCGTCAAATATAATGGCAGGTGACTTGCCGCCCAACTCGAGGACGACATGCTTCAAATTGGACTTTGCTGCTGCGGCCTGGATGAGCCGACCAGTTCGGCACGACCCTGTGAAACTGAGGGCTCGGACGTCCATGTGCGACGATAGTATGGCCCCTGACGTCTGCCCATGTCCGGATAGAACGTTGATGACTCCTGGAGGGAACCCTGCTTTCTCGATCAGAGTGGCAGCTTTCGCGGACTGAGGGGCCGAGTGTCAGCAAAGCTCTTGGTCGATTGCAGGCTTCACATACCGTTAGTGGCGCTTTCTCGCTGCTCTTCAAGACAACAGTGTTTCCGGCCGCAAGAGCCGGGGCGACCTTGCTTGCGAAGAATAAGAGCGGAACGTTCCAGGGGATGATGGCGGCGACAACCCCGTACGGCTGCTTGAATGTCATGTTGACAAAACCTGGGGTATTCAAGCTGCTGACGCCCTGGGCATCATATCCAGCCTCCGCATAATGCTCAAAGGTGCTTGCAGCGGCATGATTGTCGTAATACGTCGACACCGGCCGACCCATCGAAAGAGCCTCCAGTCGAGAAAATTCCTCGCCACTTTCGACCAACAGGGCTGCCAGTTTTTTCATGTACACGCCTCTGTCGGCAGGAGAGAGAGCAGACCATGCTGGAAAGGCTGCTTTGGCGGCAGCTACGGCGGCATCGGTGTCCTTTTCGCTGGCTTCGTACACTAAATGGGAGATCAGCATTGCATTTGCATTGTATTTGCACTTGGAAGTTTGTGATGTACCTTCGGCGACAACTTCCCGCGTCGCTGGTGACCTGATAGGGAACGTCTTTCCGTCTGAAGACTCGACGAACTATACCGACATCAATACCATCGTTGGCATCATTGAGGATTCAACATACCTTGCCATTGATGAACAGCCTTGTCTCTATCTTGCCCGTGGAACCCATTTTGGCTTATTCGCAATCGATGAGATGGCTTTTCGTGTTGCTTCAGACGAAATTGTCGATAGTTGTCAATACAGGGGAATGGAGGCCACGCATGTCAATTTCTAATCGTCGAGAACATGCTGCACAGATGTAACTGCCGATATGGACGGAGATACGCCTGGCATCTGTCCCATCGGAAGAGGCACCCGAAGTTGCCGCGCCCCAGTGGGGGATCCCCGACATACAAGTGCTTGTACAAGATCTAGAACCCCGTATTACTTGTTCGATCCCAGGATGCCACCAAGGCATGAGGGCTGACTGCGGATTTCAGGTAGCGCATAGCCTCGTCCTCCCCCGAAGCGGCAGTTCGTTTGACTGGCAGCGAGCACTCCATATCTATCCTTCCACAACGAACCTCGATCCGGGGGTGTAGCTGGCTTGAGCATGCCTGTAGACAGGTTACAGGCTTACAGAGACCTTCAGAAGACGAAACTGAGCTTTCCCAGTCACTCATTAGAGAATCTTTTCCATACTCGGCCGCCGGATACGGACGTAGGAGGAATCGTTATGCCGTTGCTGACCGCAGAACTTCAGGTCAGACGGCACCGGCGCTCCTCCGACAAATCCAGCATTACGAGACGGCATGCACTAGATAAAGAGACAAGCTTCATATGTTCTGTTTCAGGAAATATGCGCCTATATCGAGCTTCTGTGCCGGAATGTTCGAACTTGTGCATTACTATACACCATGTACGCCATTCGATCCAGCACCATTGACTCCATTCTGCTCACTCTGACCCTGCTCCCTTTGGCGGATCTGCCAGGGTAAAGGCTCTTTGGCTGGCTCAGCGGGCCCGATATCGCCGGATTCGGATCGTCTCTTCTGCCATTCATTGATGTCTCTATGGTCGACAAAGTTGCCGTGTAGGCCCAGCTTCAGCTTGAACGGCAGGTGGATCACCGCCAGCGGTCCTTTGGCCACGTCGAGCGCATCCATAATCACAATGTCGTTTCGAAGGACGTCGAGTTGGTTGAGCAGGGCGATGAGATATCCTTCTCCCTCGGAACCTCCGTCCTTGGGGATGAATGTTGGTTCTTGGAAGGTCGCCGTCGGTCCCGCGAAGAAGACGTCTTCGGTCCTGTCATCCCAGCTGTAATGGCCGAGACAGTTAAACAAGCCGCCTGCTGGTGGTCCACACTTTGCAAAATCGTAAGGCTTCGTCGGGTCGACTTTGGCTTGCCAAAAGTGATTGTACTTTTTGGTCACGAATCGGTCGTCGATCCGAGAAAACTCGCCGTTTGTCATCCAGGTTTCGGCGGGAGTCACCCGTGTTCCCGACTTTGCTCTAGGATCAAATATCCATCGGGTGGTCGGACTGCTCAGTTGATTGCGCTTGGCCAGGGGACCTTCAGCCTCGCCGAGAGGTGGGAAGAAGAAGAAGACATTGCCATCTGCGACGGTCAAGTCGAAAACGATGTGGCCGTCTTCGTTCTCATAGCATCCTGCGATGTGTCCGTGGAACCCTGTTCAGGAGGTAAATGCTCAGATAAGTCAGACTTTGACAGGTATGTTTGACGCACTCACCATTGTCAGCTCGAAACCAAACAATGTCTTCCGACTTGCCTCCTCTTCTGGGTACAACGCCATACCACTGATCCTCATTGGGATCCCAGGCCCAGTGATTCCCCCCGCCCTTTAACGTCTCGATGCCTGTCCACTTGATCGGTGTCAACGGCAAGACCATGTAATTCTTACTGACGCCACAGTCGTGAATCATTCCGCAAAACGGGGCCTTGTACCAGCACTCCTCGATCTTCTTCCCATCCTTGTCGATGGTCCACACCACAATGTCATTGGAGCCGTCGTGGCCGTCCCCGCCGGCCTCGTACGCAAAGCACAGCATTTCTCCCGTGTCCGGGTCGAACTTGGGATGAGCCGTGAAGGTGGGTGTGAGGATCTGTCCCTCGAAATCGTACCGGCCGATCGTTTCCAGAGAGACGGGGTCCATGATGTACGGGGGCCCGTCCTCCTTGCTCGCCAGCAAGACGCCTCGCCAGAAGGTGATGTTGGTGTTTGCCGCGGTCCGCACCACCCCTTTGACCGTCTCGTTGTCCGTGAAGGGGTTCCTGTACCTCCCAAATAGCGCTCTTCTCGCGCTCGTCTCGACCTTGTACCGATCCGTCCGGACATAGCGCTGCTTGAAGTCGGCGTGCCCGTTTTGGATGCGGATCGCCGTCACGCTCCCGTCGCCGTTGAAGTGGATGTCGTCCTCGAAGACGGGCGGGAACCGGTGGTCCGGCTGCACGCGGTAGAAGGTCCCGTCAATCTCGGGCGGGATTTTGCCACTGAATTCCAGGTCGAACACGTCGCCCTCGATGCGCGACGGTTTGTTGAAGCCCTGGAACACGGCCGTGGCGGGGTACTGGACCTGGTCGGTGGCTCTGATGCCGTCCTTGTAGTTTCTTGCCACAAGTTGGGGGGCGAGGTCGAAGATGTGTGCCATTATGACGGGAGTGCGCGAGGTTGTTGACGGGATGTCAGAAAGGGGAGGATGGGATTGTATATGTATATGATCTTTGTGCTCTCTGGCCTGATGTGCCTGTCCCTTCTTCTATATTCC